TTGCAGGTGGCACGGAATCAGGGGCATTAATTGCCAACATTCCTTCCGGGTTCCCAGCCCAAACACGAGGGGCCGAATTGTCAGGTTTTGAGGAAAAACCGATGATTCGGCTCCCGGCCCCAACACGAGGAGCCGAATTGTCAGGTTTTGAGGAAAAACCGATGATTCGGCTCCCGGCCGAATTGTCCTTTTCGGAGGGAAAACCGACAATTTCGCCTCCTGCTGTTTCTGAAGAAAAGCCTGGCTCTGAGAGCCCTTTCAGGAAAGTTAGCAGCATTAATCTGGTCCTGGGCAGGGCTGTGGTGATGATAGATGGGGCATCGGTTGTGCTCAAAGTGCAAACAAAAGGATGGCCAGCTTGTGAAGGCCCACTTGCAGTGCTTGCAGACCGGAACGCCTTCCTGACTGTGTTGCATGAAGTCTTTGCGCATCTCAGGATAAGAACGTTTGGCTTTGCGTTGGGCAGCTACGATAGTGGGATGCTTCTGGGCTCTGTGTATGCGTAGAGTGCGAGTATTCGGGAAGTAGCATCCACAGTCAGGGCATGCCTGTGGGACCACTCGGGCTGACACAGCCACTAGGCGCGTCGGTGCATGAAGAGAGCCGGTTGGCTCCTGATATGTGGCATCCAGCTTGAGGGCTTGAAAGCTGCTGTGGAGATGCTTCCACCATTTATGCACAAATTCTGGCTGAAGCTGAGACATACCATTATGTTCACAGGTATGGAGTCGTTGCTGGACCACATGTTGCAGCCTTTGAAGGGGATCCTCGATCCGCAATCTGGCCAGCAGATCCTCTGGCCGCTCCCGGGTGATGTAGGAGGGGGCTTTGCTGAGAATGCGAAGCTGGCGCACAACGTGTTTATGCAGCTTAAGCGCGCCATCTGACGCAAAGCCCACACTGTCAAGTCCATGAACAAGTGTGGTGAAAACGCAGGTGCGCCAGATTAGTGTGCGATGTGATAGGCTGACGCCCGAGGATCTCAGCGCCGGCAGCAGGCGGTTGAAAGCGGACCATGACTGTCTCATGCGCTCCTTTAGTGTAAGCTGCTCAAACGAACTGTAGCTAAGGACTGCTCCTAGGTAGGGATGTTGTTTCACTACCGGCAGGTCTATGTTGCCATGGTCCGTCGTGAGCTGGAGTAGGCGTCCACGCGTGGGGTGCTTAACTACATATTGTTTCAAGACGCTACCAGTCTGAGCACCACGAACTCCGATCAGTACAGCCGACTTCGTGGGACTAGGGCACATGCCGAAGTGTTTGAGGGTCTCCAGGACAAAGGCTATGTTGCGAAAGGCTTGCTCCAGCTGTGACTTGTTGTTCACCAACCAGTGAAACAAAAAGTCGTCGGCATACACAGTGGTGTCATCCATTGAGAGGCGTTGCCTAATGTGAGTGAGTATGAGCCCAGTATACAAAACCCACAAGGCGGGTGCTAGGCAACACCCTTGGCGAATGCCACTGGTTGTTTCAAGGGTTGCTTGCTTATGGCCGTGAGCAATACGAACACTTGCATGTGCATGCAGTTGCATGATAACGTACTGAGCCGATGGATCGACCTGTGCTAGTTGCATGGCTTCTTGCAACCTCTCTCTGGGCATGACATCAAACGCTTGCCGTAGATCTACCGAGAGCAGCACTCCACCACGACATGCCTCGGGGCGGTGTCCCTGTTTGCGTAGATGAATATTTTGGCGCTGCGAATGTAAGATGGCTCGAACCTGTGCGCAGTGGGCTGCTGCACGATCCAACGCATCTTGCACTGAGCGGCCCTCTAAGTAAGCCATCTGTGGCAAGTCCTGGACTATCTGCTGTAGGTTGGGTCGAATGTGGGAGTGCAGTATCATGGATAGGGCCTTAGATACAGGATGAATCAAGGAAATGGGGCGAAGTGCTTCGGGGCCAGTGTGGTTTGGGGAGAAGACATAGGTCGGCGATGTGCCACTCCTCCGGTGGGGGCTGGTCCATGTGTGCCAACCACGGGCAGAGTTTTGTCCGTGAGAACATCCGCCGCCAGCCGCCAGAGTCTAGCCGGAGCTGTGCTGGGTGGCAGGGCCTTGTTCAGGGCTAGACTACAGAAGGAGTGATATAGCTGTTGCCAGGTGACCTGAAAAGACTCAGTAGTCATCATGAGGCTCGGCTGGGTGTGCTGTCTAAAGAGTTTGTGGTAAAACGCGCGGATGGTCTCAAGCGTTGTAGAGATGTCCAGCGGCTGGCCGTCCGGCGCACGGAGTTGCAACTTGCGGCGTGGCTGCTTGGGACTGAACAATCGAAGAACCCGAAAAACTCCTACAAAACCACTATGACCTATAGCCTCTTGCAGATGATTAGTGATGCGCTGGTGGCGCAGTCGCCGACAGTGTCTTCGCAACTCCCTCTGATGCCGCTGCAGTGCACAAAGATCACGCCAGCGGGCAATGAAGTCACTTAGAGTTCGACACTGGCGTTGACGCCCTTGTTTAACTACAGCTCTCAGTCTCCAAAGCTCAGCAACGGTGCATCCACGGGTATCGGGGTTGGATGACTGCCGAGGTTCAGAGAGGTGGGCGGTGGCTGTCTGCCAGGCTTGCTTAAACATCTGGGTGGTAGGGAGATTGGGGTGCTGGTGGTAAAGTGACTGCATAGCCAGCTGAAAAGCCGAGATCACTTCGGGGTGATCCTCACAGGTACGCTGCACTTTGTGCCTCTGTAGCAGCGGGGGCTTATGAGTGTCCTTTGGCCTAGAGGGCTTAGGGAGACTACCTAGCAGAGGTAGATGGCGCATGCCTGTCGCTGGCACAAAGGGCAGCACTCGTGGTGCCGTGCAGCGCGCCTTGGGGTCAGCTTGTGACCGGCGCATGAAGGCGAAGTCTATTTGACTATGCCCTGTGGGCCCTGCGGGACAATACGTGCACGACCTTCTACCACTAGGGCCCCAAGTGTTCAGTGCAACTAATTCATGATTGCGAATAATGTCCTGAAGCATAGTGGAGTCGCCCGCATGGACCCCGGCTCGGGTACAGACACCTCGACCGACTAGAGAGCCCTCAGTGATCAGATCTGCATTCATATCCCCTAGCAACACCAGCTGGTTTCGTCTGGGCAGGGAGTGTAGTAAAGTGGAGAGACTGGCTAAGTATTCGGCTCGCTTTCCTAGCAAGGTTTCCCTGTGTTTACTTCGATCCCCGATGGCTCTAGTAAGCGACCAGGCATGTTGATAGCAGACTACTACGTCCACGCACGGGTCACCCTCTAGCCGAACGTGAAAGAGCCTGCCTGGGATGAGCTCACGATGCTGGACTTGTGCAGTGGTGTATAGTGATTTATCAACCATAACCAATAATCCGGCAACTGATTTCTCCCCTCCACTATGTACAACCAGAAACCGACCCGTAACATACTCCAGCGGACCCCTCCAGTGCGTCTCCTGAATGGCTACTAGGTTGACGTCCTGTCCAGCTGGTGAGTTCAACCAAGTGGTCAACTCCAAGTTGCGATCCGTTGTCAGACCGCCAGCATTCCAAGACATGAAGTTGAGTTTGGCTTCAGGGCTAGTCTGTTGGGGGTCCGGAGTGTTGTTGGGGCGAGGTTGGTGGGAGACTCCTAGTTGCCGTGCTGTCATCCATCTGCCACGATATTTGGTGCTACCCTGTTGCGATGCTCGATGCTGAGCTCTGATAAAGGCTCGCTTCTGTGCAGGTCGGGGATGCATGCGAAAAATGGGATTGTCACCGTTGCGGTTCGCTCTGCTGTTAGCTTGGCAGGGAGCAAAGCGCTGTGCTTCAGAGGGTTCCTGGTGTGGAGAGCCCTCAACCCTCGCGTCTGTAGCCTGGTGTGTTGCTGAGATCAAGGTGGGAACTATCAACAGAAGGAGACAGAAAAGTGTTCCTTGTGGTGACGAACGCATTCTCCCAGGACTACCTCCGGACTTGGGACCGGAGTGGCTCTTATGTGGGGGTTTAGGGTTTCTGGACTGTGCCGAGATATGGGGGCTACCTGGTGTGAAAACCTGAGGCAGCAGACGAGCGGAGCAGCCTACCCGCCTAAGCGCAACGAGAATACTGTACAGTATGTACAACAGCGTCAGCCAGCTCAGTACTTTGGTGGAGCCACGAGAGGCGTGCAGTTTGCGCCGAAGGCGACATCGCCTGCGGTGCGAGCAGCGTATTCGCCATCTTCTCCAGCTTCGCAGCCTTCCCTCAATCCATCTGCGCGGCCGAGGACGAGGAAGGGGCAGCGGAAGTTCCAGTTTGGTACTTGAAGAGCCAGCGCTGTATATAAAATCTGCGCTCATTCGTAAGCAGTGGCCAGAGCAGCCGGAGGGCTGGCCGGTAAAAAGTGTTGTCCGCCAGGGCGGTGGATTTTTCCGCCACCAATTTAGCAGAGTCGTCACCCATGGCCGTCCTGAGGCTTGCATAGATAGCTCTTTGCATGGCCTGGCAGAGGAGGGCTCGCGAGGGCAGCTGGCCCGGATCCTGCGAGTAAATCCATGCCACATCGTTGGGCGGGATCTCCTCAGCCAGCCGGGTGCAGAGCGCTGCAACCAAGCCTTCCAGTTCCGTCTTCTGCTCCGGTGGGAGAAAGCCCCCCACTGACTCCAGCATGTGGTCGGTGGGGTCGTTCTCGTGCTTGCGCCAAAACTCTCGGAGTCTAGCCGCTGCCTGCCGGATTGGCATGGTAGACTTGAAGACCCGGTCCAGATATTCGGCACAGAGCTGTCGCACCAGGACAGTTTGGAAAGATTGCCTTTTGAGAGCAAAGTGATGCTCCCGTTGCAGTTCCTCCGGCGGAGTCCAGGCGGGGTAGATAGCAGGGCCTGATGGAGCATCATCATCGCTGGCAGGAGAAGCCATATGTTGATCATTGTCCTCATCGTGCTCACTGTCCGCTATGTCAGAACTATCCAGGCTAGGCAGGCTGCTCGAGCGCTCCGACGTGTCCAGCGAGCTGCTCTCCACTGGAGAGCGTGGCATACGCTCCGGCCCGAAGACCCCAATAAGCAAGCGTAGCCAGCCCCAAAGAAGCGCAGTTCAAAAAGTAAAGGCACAGACCATGAACCCTGTCCCAGTCTTGTACAATTGGCCCGAGCCAAGACGCTTACTACTACTGCTACTACTACTGCTACTACTACTACTACTACTACTACTACTACTACTACTACTACTGCTACAGTGCTGCTGCTGCTTCTACGACGACTACTGCACCTGCCCCTTGCAACCTGCCACCTACCACTAGCCATTTTTGTTCGAACTTCAAGCCCATTTCCGCAGGTGGCTGCTCATGCTGTCACGGGTGTTTCTGTTGTGGTTGTTATGGTGGCGCGGGTGACACCCTAGCCACAGGCAGATGGCTTGCGACAGAGTTGTGGATTGCTGGGATGCAGAATAGCCTCAGTCCCTTAGCTTGACAGGCAGGGCCTGCAGAGCAATCTGGCCTACTTCTTCAATCAGCCCATCCCGCACCAGCGATTTGCCCAGGATCGCGCGGAGGTTTTGCCCTCACAGGTTCAGCTTCAGGGTCGTTTTGCTTCGTTCACTTCGTGCGAAAGTTTCACATGGCTACAGTACACTCCACAGCGCAATCTTTTCGCGAATTGCGCCCAGTCCAACAAACTCTAAATTTGTATGAGCTTCAGGGTCCATTTTTCTTGAAGCCGCCCGACAAGCATTTCTGCGTAGCTGAGGAGACGTGCTCAAGAGAAGTTGGGTTTGGGGTACGGTCCCCGACTTTGACGACTGAGAACCGACTCAGAAGCGCAAGGACACTTAGACCAGGGCCCAGAGTGTGTAGCTCAGAGCTGTTCCATTGCATGGCTATGCCGTACGTGGGAATGTCTCCAAGCGAGACCCAGACACCAGAGAAATAGGATCCCTCGTCGTATAGACCATAAAATATGAATCCTAAAGCCCTAGGCCATAGCGATAACACCTAGGACCCTAACCGTAAAAGGCTGAACTATAATATAAACGAGAAGATACTTTGAGAGATGCCTCACCTGGTTTGTTTCTGCTGGTATCTCGGATTATGTCATAGCTTTTCATCTCAAACTGCAAGTTGTCGAGCCTGCGCCAGGCCATCCATGTTTTCTCCGGTGGCCGCGAGATACCCCTTCGCCTGGCACATGCACGACACCTTTGTTTTGAGATTCGCCTACAGCCAGCTTGGGGTTCCGTGCTTGGGGCCTACACTGTGCCGGTTGCTGAGGAGCCCGTTGCTGTTTGATGAAATATTGGTGTGCCACTGCGGTAGACCCACAGCAGACACTGAACTTGTGCTTTACAGAGAAATTCAAGAGAAGGCTGTCTGAACCACAGAGTCTCTAGGCTCTCTAGACTATAAAGTACTTACAGCCAGCAGGTTCTACCCTGTCCTTACAAATACCCCCCAAACAGCCGAGGAACTGCAGGCCGGGCGGGATTCCGATGAGCTGCATCCCGCCCAGCACGATGAGTCTCCTGGCGTCCTCTTGCAGGAGCTGTAGGGTTTTGGTGCTGGGCTGTCGACTTAAGATTCATGGTTTGCGGCTGTTAGTCGCGGGATTATACTGTCGAGTTTTCGGTGCTTGCGGCATCCAGTTTAAATCTCCGGAGCTTCCAAGGATCTGATTTGGGATTTCGGATTAGGGCCGGGCCCGTTTTGCAATTTTTGAACTCATGCTTGCTATCCTGAGAAGCCACGTTCATCGAGTCCAGTCCCGACCATTTTCACCACCAGGATCCCTAACACTCAAACCCCGAAAGTAAACATCAGCAGGAGCCCACCAAGCTCCCGCTCCCGGCGGGCAGCTTCGTGATGGGCGAAGCAGAACCCAGAAGCAGCTCTGGGCCTGTGGACGTGCTAATTCATCTCTAGAGGTCTCAATCTTAGATCCTCCAAGACCCACCAGACTCGCATGTGTTTCGGTAATGCAAGATTTGACCCTATCTAGATTTGGTGGTACTTGGCGGGCAGAGTCCTGCGCCCTCTCTCGGCCTTTCAGCCTTTCAAGGCTGTACTATCCAATGTATCTGAACGACAATGTAGTTCCGATTTTGGCTGACTAGGATAACAAAGGGTTCAGCTTCCGCATGGTCCAGAGCAAAGAGGGGACCCAGGACATGAAAGAGACACGACCCACTTCTTGAGGCCACAGATCCCCAAACCACGGAGCAGCCCCAGCAAGAACATGAATAGTAGTACTAGTTACTATAATATCCTACTACCTAAAACGAGGGACCTCAGATGAAGGGTTCAGGCCCCCCGTTTGATCCTCCCACAAGAGCAAGAAGCATGACAGATTACTCGGGCTTCGTCCGATTTTGCATTTGCTCGGAGCGTTGGAGGTCCGAGCTTCATGCTTCTTTTCCGTTCCGTTTCCACAGCTTGCGCATAGTCAGCAGAATCAGCAGCTGTATGAGTTGCACGCCTCCACCCTGGCATCCCTCGGGAAAGAGCTCCTGCTAAGGGGCTTTACAGATCGAGACAATGGCCGAACCTTGCTAGAAGTTGCTGCCCCGAGCTTGTTCTTGTTTTTTGACACCGACTCTACATTACCCTCGGAGCAGACAATAGGCAACGAGGACATGTGCGGTGTGATTATCAACCCTGCCTGCGTGGGAACTCGAACGCTGCATCCACAGATTGTGGGGTCTTAGGTACAAGACAAAGTGCAAAACATGCACAACGCAACCCGCTCAAGCGTATGAACCTCAGCCGAATATGTCTAAGATGTCAATAATCGAAACCGTATCACAATCAAATTCCTTGAGCGACACAGGCCCCGTTGGAAGCCGGCCCAACCGACCTGAAGTTCACGAACTAGATGCCCCTAATGCTGAAGGTGGAAGCTTGTATGTAGCCCTCAACACCAAATCCAAGAGCTTCGGTAGCCAAAAGCTCAACCCAGAGCTCCGGACATCTCCAGTTTCGGGATGCTTGGGTGTCGGAGGGCTTCTGCACGAAAGGAGCCTCTGAGAGTTCTGAGAGCTAGAGATACCAAAGGTTGCAAAGCTGTGCTAGTGACTGCTAGTGGTAGGCGGGTTCAGGATTCCTAAGCTCTGAACCCGAAGGCCTAAAGCCTGACCAGCAAAATCCCAACCACAACAAAGTGAACCCTGAAGCTTAAGCCGTATTGGAAGTCCCTCCACGCTCCTCCGTCCCGCCTGCTCAACTGGGAGGGCTCCACAGACACAGCAGTCGGACTGGGCGCTAGGTTTCGCAGTTCCAGACCGCAGTTACTAAGACTAGTGCTCTGTCGATTACGAAGCTTCTTGCTTCATGTTGTGGTTGGGCTAGTAGTTGACAATTCGGCTTGATGGGCTTTGCAGGAAATACTGTGCTGACAGAGGGCGGTGATGCTTCTCAAGACTGATGCCTCTTGGAGGCTTTAACGCCTTCTGAAAAGCCTTTGAGAGTCTTCCACAATCTCGGCACTCTTGGCCCAAACCCTCTCTGCAACCTCTTTGTTTTACTTGCGAAGTGGACGGGATAAGGACGGGCTAAGCTATGCGAATCCGGGTTCACGGGTCTTCACGACAAGTACAGAGACTTAGGGTTTCCCGGCTTCCCCATGAGCGTTCTACGGCTCAGAGGTCCGGGGTAGACACTGGGCAAGCCTAAACTTCAACCTCAGGAGTCGATGCTGACAGACCTGTGTCGGCCAAAAAGCCGCTCAGGCACAAACAACACCCTACACCTAACTGTTCCTAATTGCTTCGGAGCTTCGGCGGATTAGACTGAGGCTCTAACCGGGACATTTGTCTCACTCAGCCCCGTTCTTGGGCTACTTTGCGCGAGTGTCAGGGGCACAGGCTCGGTGCTGTGTCTCAGGTCTGGTGTAGAGGTTTGGGGATTTTACACATGTAGGAGGGTTTGAACGTTTCGACGTCGTCTTGGAGCCATTGGCAAAAGCCCTTCACCCAATGGCCCCAAACCCTGATCAAGCACGCGTAAACTTTGCATTACTTCCTCCCTGCCTCTCCTCCCTCCCTGCCGGCAGCGATCAACCGACCGACCGACCGGCCAACCCACCATTCAGGACCCCGAAAGCCCAAAATGATCCCAAAAGTCAGCGGTAAACGATCAGAATGCGCCTTCTGACTGGGTTCGATGGGAAACCAGAATGTTCTGCAGATTTTTTCGGAGATATTGGTGGCTCGGTAAGCAGATCGTGTCAAAAAGCGCTTGTACCCAATCCACCACCACCGCAGAATGTCTTCGGAAGAGAGTTGAGAGTTGGGGTAACATACTACAGCGGATTTATTTCTCCCGTGTACACCACAATCCTCTGTGACTTGGAGGATGCGAGCCCCACAGCGAGAGCCGCGCGCCGGGGATCTGCCGCGCGCACAAGCCAACAAAATGTTTTCCTTGCAGGGTCGAAACCAAGCTTTTGAAGTTTGGGTTCTTATAGGTTATGTAGTCTTATTCTGGAAGTGTGAATTTGTGATTCGCGGGGTCACGAAGTAAGTTACACTGAACGTAAGAACCCCATGGCTTTAACACACCGTCGAACCTCATAGTAATTACCACGCTGTTTCACACCACCCAACCTTGAGGGCTGGGTTTAGAGCTTAGCGTTTAGGGTGTTGGGATCACAGGTTTTCGTTGTAACTCCTGTCTCCCCGACCGGCGATGTTTCAAGAGTGTCCCTGCGGGATGTGCACAGCCTCACCCACAAGATGTTGCAGGGATGGCAGCTCGGCAGAGGTTGTTTCCGTGTCTCCGCTTTCAAGCCCGTCCAAGGCCAATAAAATACAGAAACGGATTCTGCAGACAATCTGCGGATGTGTCTATGCCATGCCCGAACTTCATTCTGTGTTTTTCAACCTTCCCAATTGCAGCACAGCCGCAATGTAGCATCCGTGCTAAACTCCGGAGCAGTACAAGTGCCTTCGTTGTGGTGTCCTATCATTCACGGGGGTGCTGAGTTTTTGCAGGGTAATCTGGGATTTAGGGTGTAGGGTCCAGGGTACTGGGACTTGGATGCAGACTGGCTCTTGGAATTGCTGTTTCGAGTTTTGGGTTGAGTGTTATGCTTCAATGTTTAGTGAGTTTAGTGTGTGAGCTTTCGACGTGTGCGGGTTTGGGGTTCTGTTTAGGGTTTATGGTCACGGCGGTTTATTTCAGCGGTTTGTCCGCGAGCCACACACTGCTCCCTCAACACTTCTAGGCCGTGCTCGAAAGCTGGCATGTGTCTTATTTGTGCTAGCAACAAATCTCTAGACTCTAAGCCCCTAAGACAGGGACGTTAAGTTATTGGAGCCTACTATGTCCGTAAACTCCTGCAACCCTAAACCCCAACCGACATCAGAAAGAGAGACACTGAACAACCCTTTGCGCCTCGGCTACGGATCATCTGGGTTCTCGATCCCAATTTGCAGATTTGGGGATTCCAAGTTCCAGGGCCGAGGGTTTGGGGGTGATGGGTACTAGCATTTAGGAACTTGAGCCTAGGGCTTCCAGATCCTTCAGAATGTCAAAGAGTCCTTCGCAAACCCCACTAATTTTAGATTTCTTCGCAAAAGTCGTGGCACATCCAAGAAACTGCAGCCCACCACGTCGTCCAGAACAGGAGCACTATGAGATTTTGAGCCATTTGACGGCTGTTGTTCTAAGCTCCGCCCGAAACTTTTCCGAATTCTAAATCAAGTTCGAGAGAACGAGAACCCAGCCAAGCCGACAACGGAGGAGTTTTGAAGCGGGAGTTGTTCAAAGCGTCGTCTAGGATTTGAGGTTTTGCCTTGCCTTGTACGTAGTTGTCTTCTGCTTCATTGCATGGCATAGGGACGCGGTTTATGTTGTCTTACTAGAAGCACATAGCCAAGGATCAGCCTTGCCGCCATGGCTACGAGGGTGTAGGTGTAAGGTTTTGTTTTCAGGATGGGGCTTCTCGGCCAACACGGCCCATCAGGTTCTGTGACGGTCTCGCAATCTTGCTCTAAGCACAAGGTGTAGCGACTAAGGTTTAGGGGCCGATTCAAAGGTTCGCTCAAGCATCTGCGGGTGTGGGGCTGAGAAGGCCCAGGTTGTAAGACGTGAGTTTTCGGGTTTCATAAAGGCGAATCCGCTCTGAGGCCAACCCAAGACTCTCCCAAAAACTTGAAGCCCAAACTTTACACCTTGAACCCCAAACCTTCACACCCAACACCCTAAAATAGGATTCCAATACATGAAGGGCCTCCAGAAAGGGGACCTGACATGGAACAGCTCCCAAATGTCATTTGCTTGATGCTTAGTTGCGAGTTTAGGGAGTCTGGGAGGGTTGTGGAGGAAATGGACGGTGCTGCTGCCGTTCTGCTGAAACATCTATTGGTCATTCGTAGCAGGTTGCCTGAGAGACCGAACTTAGGTTTGAGTCAGGGTAGGGAGTTCAGCACGTGCGATGTTTTACTTCGAGTTTAGGGTGTAGCGTAGCGGCGTAGCACCGCTTGAGGTTGGTCGTGCCTGCCGTCACGACTTTTGCGGCAACACTGCAAAAAAAGAGGCGCAGTTCTCCTCCCTCAACCCGCAACACTTGACCCTGCATCGGGGCTTCTTGATACGGGGCTCGAAAGCAGTCTTATATCCAGCAGAGTCGTGCGACCTGTAGCAGCATCGGCCCTGCTGGCAATCTGGAGAATATCGGGCATAAGAAGCACGTAGGTGTCCGTAATCTGAAACGCAGAAGTGACAGAAAGCCACTGCGCAACTTTTCCAAGAGCCCTAAGACACGAAACCCTTTCATCGCAAACTGGTTGCGCACGGTCTCTGCGCTCGGCAATATTTCGCTTGAACCGTTTAAGTATAGAAGGACTCATCTGGCTTCTCGGGCTT